GGCCTGACGAGAATTTATTGAAAATATACGTATGCTTGCCAATTCCTCTTCGTAATTCAATATGATTGCCCGCATTTTACATTTTTACCCCCTCCCTATATAAATGTAATGGCCCAAGTAGAATTTATCGAAATCTACATATGCTCGTCCAATACTCTTGTGAATGTTCTTATGGAAATTTTTGCAACTTTAAAAAAGCAAATGCTTACAATTCAGAGACAAAACCATTAGGAATTTATAAGATGGAGATAAATAAGGTAAATAATGCCTAGGGGAAAACCTAAAAGAATACAAATTTAACATTTATATAGATCGTTGACGTTTTTAAATCTTACCAAGTAGTGGGGAATTCGCATGATACCCATCCCTGATTTCCACATACTCATTGATGCAAGATTCAGTATGGCCTGGATCCATTTGATCGCCTTGTGGTAGATAAGTAGGCGGAAGCATTGCTATGCGTGTGAAAAACAGATGGATTCGTTCACTGCTAGCTGCTAAAATTCTCCACTGGCACAACACCGCATCATTGTTCGAAGTGTTAACCTGGCCTTGGGAATGAAGAGTGCTTCTGGAAGATGCAACTTTTTGTTTTCTGTCGCGGGCATTCGAATTCTTTTCTGGGGACGAAAAGCTGCCGGCGTTTGCTACGAATGTTTGTCCACAGGCTAGAAGAAAACAGATGTGGCTTGGCGTAAGTGAGTTATTGAAAATTATGATGATAAATATCACGATAAGCGTTAATTGTTAGGATTTTTCCTATCGAGCGACCGTGGCGAGCCCTCAGGTCAACTTATCAGTCCACCCACAGACAAAGGGTGCGCGCGGATGGGCGCGAATGAAGGAGCCGAGGTCACACGAGGCTGACAGAACAGAGGCTGCCAGATGGTCAATCGTGCTGCTATGTACATGAGGACCCAATTCGATTGGTCCCATCTGTTCCTTTCTTAGTATATAGGCCCGTTCGAGGGACACGATAAACGACTTTCTTTCTGATGACATAGTTCTTCATTCTCCATGTTGAATTGACACAAAGAAACTGGAGCGGCAAACATCTAGCCTGGAAAAGCCATTGCAACAATAACCACTGAGGCTTTGACCAGAATTAAACTGTTCTTTCTAAACGTTGGTTGGCATAACCCAAAACATTACATTTCAGTGCCCCGTAATAACTAAGCATGCTAACAATCCTGTGACAGACATCGTGTTTAATTCGTTTTGTTTGCGATATTAAGCTGGGGCTATTACATAAAGATTTTGTTGTGTTCGAATCTGTGTAAGACCTATGCATTGACTGTCGCCACGAGAGATTATATGAATGCTCTGAAGGTCAATGCAAATGTGGCTATAATAAGGCACTGGCACTGAATAATAAAGCTGCAAAAAAAGGGAAAAAAAACAAATGTGAGATGTAAGATTAGAAGAGTTTGCTGTTAAAGCAAAATACAACTTACAAGGACACTTGTAGAGTTTGTTCATCTGGCTAGCGTCAGACTTGCTCGGCATTGACTTCCCACCGATTTCCGGACAGCATTCGATGGGCCTTACCGTTTCGCTGTTGTAAGATTTAGCAGCAGCACCATCGTGGTAGTTCATAATCGAGTTGAAGTCATAAGGCTCGTCAAGAGAATCTACTTCATCCTTCATGTCAAAGTTGTGGAGGTATTTGGGTTCTATGTTTTCTGTGAAAACCTTCACATATACTGCCGAAATAAATATTAACATAGGTAGGTTACAGTAACTGCAAATAAAAGTAAAGGATACTCTATCAATATGTATTTATTTGATTTCTAATTATTTGTTCTATGAACACTAATAACATATCTTTTAAAGTTCTGTAGTGACGTAGAAGCTTTGCTTTTCAAATGAAGCTTTCCACGCTATTTTTATATCCATGAAGCGGGAGCAAATAACTGTGCAGGGGACTCACGTACAAAGCTGCCCAGATGACCAGTTTGGATATCATCAATTAAGGAGCTCAACAATATGTTACATGCTAGTGAAAAGCCCCAATATAGAAATGTTGCAAATAGTTCAATTTCGACGATGTTTGTCATTTTTGAATTTATATTTCAAACTATCGAACAATATACTGTGGCCTTACATAGGCATCGCAAATGTGGGTTACTGAACTACAGACTTCATTCTTATAAAATTAAGATTGGAATTCACTTATTTACTAAAATGTTACAGACAGAAAGAACAGTTCAAAATGCATAAACCACGAAGTAGCTTTCTCGGACTTACAGTCGCGGTCTGGTCGACTATGCTCGTGCCAAAATCCCAAAGCATGTCCAAGTTCATGAATGACCGTTGTTTCAGTCTCACAGGATGGTGCGATTGAAATTGTTTGGGGTTTGTCCGTGTGTTGCCGGCCAATACTCGAACAACACCTATTTTTATTTTAAAATAACCACGATAATATTATTGCCGAATGTGTCAGATTTGCTTCTGATAATGAACAAACAGCCGATGTACTATATGTTGTGTGGAACACGCGGATATCCAAAATTTTTAGAAAAAACCACTGCAAACGTGCAACGTCTCAATAACCTTACTTCCTTAACTTAGTCCGAACATGTCCTTTCTTAATAGAACAATAGCGTATAGTGGGTCTCAAAGGACGCACATCTATAGTGTGATGAGAGAAACTGTATACGCATGTTAAGTCTAGATCACGTCAAACAGCAGTCTACGCATTCAGCAGGAGGGCACTTATGGGACACGGGTGCTTGAATATATTTAGCCGCCTGTATTTGTACTTTGCACCCAGAATCCACCTCAAGGCCTTGAAAAATGATTCAGTATTACTGCGTCCGGCTGGCAATTATGATCTAGCTTCGACGGTAGGGGCACATATGCCGTACTGAGGACTGTGTATGAGGCTTTTAAGATTTCAATGTAACTGTCCTCTATTACTTGTTCACTTAATAGGGTTGCCAAATATCTTGAGTACGTCATCATACATGCAAAAACTGTGTAAGACCCATGGGGGGCACATGTTTAACCTGGATGCTGGACGCACGGCAAAATCTTCAAAATGAAAGTAACTTCTCAAGGGATGACACTGTCCCTATATTGTTCCCTGAAATTGAGTGCATCATTTTGGATTCCTAGCTGTAAATGGTCATTGTGTTGGCCCTTTATATTGCATTAGTCTATATATTTTGCCCCTTGCGGCTTCTCTCTTTGCGATTGCTCTTCATTAACAAAATGCCTCAGCGTGCAATATTGTGGCAAACGTCGATATTTTTGCCATCATGAGACCATGAAACATTGCGCCCTAGCTCCTCTCAAAAAAATCAGGGCAGGAGGTACGGGCGACAAGAATTAAGCGTCAGACCCCTTCTCCTCTTTTCCCCCCTAGTCCCTAATTATGCCTAGAATCTGTTCCCTTTACACCTATATACCTCTCTTTCTAATTAATACCGATTGTTTACTGAAGCTTTTGTTAACACTATCTTCCCTTATATTATTATATACATTGAATAGCAGTCAAAATTAATTTTTAATTACATTCTGTCTTTCCATAAATAATTCATATAATAATAAGTGACTAGATTTTGCGGAACCTTATTGTCCTAAACTGTGCACTCAACCACCAAATCATAATCTTTCATCTGATAACAATCCAGTTCGTTATGCCTATATATGTGGTCTTCCAAATGTCTGCGTTGCATTAAAAAATGAACACTTTGCTATACTCTTGTATTTGTTTCCGCCAAATGGAAATCATATTAGCATGAAAACATTAAAACTCACCCACATTGCTCAACCGTAAATATTAGGTAGGACATGTGATGTTGCTCTCGTTTGACAAAGGAAAGGCATGTCAGACTTTCCCAAACTCGCATCCCCCTTAAGAACATTGCCTTTGAGGTATCTTAATAAAGTTAAAACATGGTAAATACATAAGCGAACTAAATTCATAATGCGATTCGCACCAAGATAATTTAATATGAACTCATACAAAGTGTACGGGCCTACAGCAGCAGAATTCAAATATACGTAATCTGTCTGGTTACAAATTGAAAATGATATCTGGCACTAGCACTCTTTTAAATTCAGGATGAAATAAAAATTATATAACTTATTGCGGCTTTAAAAATGCATGAAAATATAAACCCATCAGTGTAACAGTACTTGAAGATTTTGGCATTTATGTAATGAATGTGAGTTATATATATATTCAGCTTTTCATATAGTTTAATTTCAATGAAAGTGACAGCCCCGGGTTGCCTTAGCGATCATCTGATTAATTAATTTCATGTATCTCAATTGCCTATCGAAAAAAATGGAGTTCGAACTGTAAGCGAAGTATAATCATTGTACTGCCAAGTAATAGTGCTTACGAGTAAACGGTTACGTTTGAATGATCCTCAGGAATATTGTGTATGAAGTTTGCGCACCCCCTCTACCTTTATTTATAACATACACACGTTTCGGTGAATATCAAATGAGCTTCTCCCAGGACATGACAATATCTATATGCATGTTGAAATTTCAAATACAGCCTACGTGTTTGAACGCAATGTGTCAAGTGAAAGAGCACACATTTTTTCCGCCATATGGCACGTTAGACCTCATATATGTTTCCATGTGTTGGTCCAAGATTGATAATGCTCTCCCTATGAGCCCATTTGGTGTAATATTGGTACATTTTGTGAAATTAAATTTGAAAAGTTTTCACGCTAATATGTGCGTCTCCATTGTTATTTTGACCCGTTGCGCAGTATTTTATTCTTTCATGTTGAAAGTGGTAGTTCGAAAAATCTGTTGTGGGTTGTTAATTGGCAACGACGCTAAGTGAGTAAAGACAGCCTACAGGTTTGCTTCACAGAAAAAAAGGGTATTTAGCGCGCATGTCGCCAGAAAATCTGACAAATATACATATACATCTATTTTCATTAACCTGGCCTATGGGTAAACGAAAGAAGATTATGGATAAGGAAGAAGACTTGTCGAGCACCGGATCAATAGATTTATTGTC